TGGGACCACAAGCACCTGCCACAATGCCCGCCCTGCAGTTGTTTAGCTGGCATGGGCTGGGTTTGAACCTGCCACCCTCAGTGTATGTGGCTTGCACACCGTAACCACTGTACTACGGGCCGCGGAGCTGGGACTGTTTTTCTAAAAGAAATCTCTGGAGTAGCTCTTGTAACTCAGAAACTGTGGCCGGTGATCTACCTTTAGAAAGTCATCTCACTTCGGGCAGTGCCCGTAGCTCAGTAAGTAGGGTGCCAGCCACATACACTGAGGCTGGCAGGTTCAAATCCAGCCCGGGCCAGCCAAAACACCAATGACAACTGCAACAAAAAAATAGCCTAGGGTTGTGGTGGACACCTATAGTCCCAGCTACTTGGGAAGCTGAGGCAAGAGAATCACTTAAGTCCAAGAGTTTGAGGTTGCTGTGAGCTATGATGCTACAGCACTCTACTGAGGGTGACATAGTGAAACTCTATCTCAAAATAAGTCATCTCACTTCTGTGTATAAAAGAAGATGTGTGTGCTCTGAGTCCATCTCCTCACAGAGCTGCACCAACAGACACCAAGTTAAGGGCATGTACCTTAATGTAGTTTATGATTTCAATCACATCTTGCAAAACATTGTTGAGTTCCAGCGACATTTTTTGGCTATCCACCATTTCACTATGGATGACACAGTGAGCATCCATATGGATGACTTACATTCAGAAGTGACCTCCTTGACCCAAGTGAAGAAACCAGTAAGCTGTCCAAGTTGTGGCAGCTGCTCCATCTGTATATATACTGACGCTAAATGACCAGTTCCGTTTCCCTGATAATGTAATCTTTCAATGCCTTGTCTAGCTCTGTAGTGTTGGATGACAACGGAAGCACACATAGTATATCCTCTTGCACATACCTCTGAAAAATATATCACCCTAAAACAAGCGTTGTTGCCTTGTTGTCAACATCAGTGGACTTGCCAACCTGGAGTGTGTACCATGAGGATTCAGTAATCCTCCCTAACAATTGTCCTCAATTACTTCTGCTATTTCATCAATTTGTCTAGTTACAGTGCTAGTCAAAAGAAGAACCCGTGCCACCTTTGTTGTTGTTGTTGTTGTTGTTGCAGTTTGGCCAGGGTGGATTTGAACCTGCCACCCTCTATATATAGGGTCGGCGCCCTACCCACTGAGCCACAAGCGCTGCCCCAAGCTGTGCCACCCTTTGAACTGCAGGCTCTCCTAAAAGTTCATGGCAAATGTCCAGAGCAGCAAGCAGGATCAACTCTTTCTTTTTTTTTTTTTGAGACAGAGTCCTACTCTGTCACCCTAGGTAGAGTGGTATCATCATAGTTCACAGCAACCTCAAATTCCTCAAACTCTTAGGCTTAAGCAATCCTCTAGCCTCAGCCTCCCAAGTAGCAGGGATGATGGGCACCTTCCACGATGCCCGGCTAGTTGCTGGTTTTTCTAGTTTTTACTTTTATTTTCTTTTCTGAGACAGAGTCTCACTATGTCACCATCGGTAGAGTGCTGTGGCATCACAGCTCACGGCAACCTCAAACTCTTAGGCTCAAATGATTCTTTTGCCTCAGCCTCCTGAGTAGCTGGGACTACAGGTGCCCGCCACAATGCCTGGCTATTTTTTGTTGCAGTTGTCATTGTTGGTTAGCTGGCCCAGGCCAGATTCGAACCTGACAACTTTGGTGTATGTGGCTGGCACTGTAACCACTGTGCTACGGGCACCAAGCATTCCACCCTCCTCAGCCTCCCAGAGTTAGGATTACAGGCGTGAGCCACCATGCCCAACAAAAGGCCGATCTTTTCTTAGTCTCCATTCACTGATACGGTTTTGATGTGAGTCTGCAATCAATTGATTTATTGTGGTCTCTGTTTAGTCACATCTGTCCGCTAATGATAATGTGTATTTGCAGCCGCTCCCCAGTGCTAGCATCACTAACTCGGCTCCACCTCAGATCATCAGGCATTAGATTCTGTAGCAGCCCATATAGCCTATGGCTAGGCGGAGTGAGAGTTATAAGAAATACCTGTATAGCTCAATAATGGAACACCCTGGTGAAAAGGGCATGGAGAGGGATTTGGCTCTTCTAACAAGCATGAGCGCTCAAAGAGATGAGAGCAGTGATGAATTGGCAGTCTCTGCATGTGTGGTATTGAGGGGCACAAGATCAGCCTTATATTAGGCTGGAGGAGAAGGTAGTCGAAAAGCATGCACATTCTATCATGGACCCACTTGCTCTGGCTCTATCTCCTCTCCTGCCTGCAGAACGCCAGCATGGTCTCTCTCTGCTGAAGATTACCAAGCTCTGCTAAAGACTAAGCTCTATCTATTCTAAGAAGACTGCTTTTACTTTCTAGGATACTCTCTCTCTCCCCAGCTAAAGTAGATAGTCCTCAGGCACCTAAGAGAAACTGTACCTGAGCAAGGTAACTTAGCAGTCCACGACCATGAACCTACCTAAGCCGGGCCCAAGACCTGGCCAGTCCCAGGTCCTGACAAGATTCTCATAAGGGGCGTGCAGCCATGATCCCTGGTGTGTGCACTTTGTAGTAGAGTCTGCGCTCCTTTGAGAATCTAATGCCTGGCCCAGATTACAGCTTGTGGTGATGGTTATTGTTGTCCGTGTTGTTTTTACTGTCCCACTGTGTATCCTTTCCCCTGGTTTAAATCTTGAGGGAATGTAACCACTTCCCTCTCAACTTTCTCCCTCCCATCACCCCTAACCTCTCTTCTTTGGGAATCTTGTCCAGTGAACACTATATTGTTACAAATCAGTCTTCCTGCAGCCCTGGACACAACTGAGGACTTCCTTCACCCTTGTCTTCAGGGACCTTCCTCCTTTCCTGTATTCCTTCTGTTTCCATCATAGCCTCCCCGTAGGAGGGTACATAGCTTTTTAAATCTATGTCTTCAGCCTGAACCTCTCTTGCAGACTTCAGGCTCCAAGTGCTTCCTGGACACAGACAGCTCCTGGGTATCCC